GACAACTGAATCTTATGTTCAGGCAAATTTTGCATTTTATGTTAATACTGTGTGTGTGTGTGTGTGTGTGTGTAAAATGCTTTAAATGACCTACCACTGGAGGCCAGTGTGAGGCTCCATAATATACCGACTTCTGCACATGGGCCACGAAGTTTCAATCGCACTGTATGTGCGCACCCGCACGTGGTATTTTGTGGAAGAGCCACACTCAAGGGGCCAAAGAGCCGCATGTGGCTCGAGAGCTGCAGTTTGCTGACCACAGTTAACGAGAAGCTTTGGAGAAAACGCCCCAAGGTATGAGTTGTGAGCATTGTGGTTTCTTATTTCTAGTCCACTTGGTCTGAGATAGAACCAGAATGGAGGGTTATGGCCCCGGGGAGTAGGCATAAAGCTTAGGGCCCTCGGGAGAGTAAGAATTAAAGCTTTTCAGTTACACTGGGGGGATAGATAGTGCCTGGAAGGTTTAATCAAGTTAGGCACTAGGTGACCATTGTGATCTCAGGGGCCCAGTAAATCTGCTTCCCACCCCCCACCCCCAGCCCCCCAAAGCGGCTCACCATCCTTCTGGGCCATTCCCAGCTCATCAGTGGCTGCCCAGCTCGGGACTCCCAATCTTTATATTCCACGATTTGCCCTTCGGTGAGACAACTTAGCCTCTCTCCGCCTCGGCTAGCTCATCTGTAACAGGATAAACACTCCACAGAATTGCGAGGTTGACATTGGGAATACAGCCAAGGCTCGGAGCACGTTGTCTGGCACGTAGTAGGTGCTCATAAATGTTAGCTACTGATAATGACGCTGACAACGACTGTTTTAGAATAAATACGTGGGTGGTTCTGCCCTCAAGGCCTGATGTCCCTGAGTCCGGAGAGGAGAGGGAGCAGCTGTTCTTAGTCTTGCAGAGGTCATTCACTGCGCAGCAGAGCCACTGTGCTCTGAGATCTGAGCTCTGTGCTCTGAGCTGGAGTGAAGTACATCGCATGAGGCCTGGCTGCCCCCTGTCCTCCCTATCTTCAGGGTCTTAGGTCTCAGTCACGCAAGCAGAGGCGGAGTGGGTGAAGGTCGGGTCTGAGGATGAAAAAATTCGTCCAGGGTCGTCCCAATGAATGTGTCAGGCTCAGGGACCCAGCGGAATGCCAGCCACTCACCGTCCCCCCCCCTCCCCGCCCCGCCCCGGGGCCTCCTCCCTCCTCCCAGCGCTAGGGGGCGGCCGGGTCGCTCCGGAGGGGAGCAGGGGTTGGAGGGGGCGTAGCCCTTGGGG